GTTACAAGTTATTATTTATTTAACACTTGCGAAACGTTGGTTTCTATGCAACAATAAGTCAATTATAAGTTATTAATATTATACCTTGTTGTTGCGACTACCGGGTAAGGGGTCTCGGGTTCGATTCCCAGGTCGGGCAAAATATTACTGGGTTTAAAAAAAATCTCAGTACCTAGTAGCACGGAGTCTGGAATTGTGCCCGGTATATGGCAATATCATCCCCTCATCCCCTATTATATGGGACTCATAACATAAAAGTGAAAAGTGGGTGTTACATTGTACAGTGGCACTAAGTGCCGTAATGTGCACCGCTGCCTACCTTTTCGGGGATAAAAGGCGTGATGTTATGTTATATTATACCTGTACAGAGTCTTGACGACATAGTAGTCGAGGGTGCCAGCGGTCTGCGAGCCGCGGTCGATTAGCAAGTCTATTAGCGCTCTCTCGCTCTCGCCTAGAGGCTGGTTAGAACAAACGGATAATTGTGTCAGGATTAGCTTATATAGAAAATTATATCTTGCTTAAAGATAGATGTTAGAATCTATGAGAATAATTCCTGAAGAAATATTTGCATAAGAAATATAAGTAACAAAATTGGTTGATAATGGAATTATTCTCCGTCTCATCTGTTATCGGCCGAAAATATGAAGTCTAGCTATATCAATTCAATAGAACTTTTTTTTTCAATAACTTTGTCTATAATAATGCAATATTCATTCATCCAAGCCATAAACTCAAAATGATACCATGGATCCAACCTAAACTTAGTACCTAGACGTAATGCGATTATTTTACCTCTATCAGGCACAGAATAACTACTATTGGACCAAAAATAGTTCCGTACCAAGTTTACATAATAAGTGTCACAAAGCGATCGTCTTTTGTTTCTTACATCATACGTCACTCGCAACAGAACTGTGAACTGGTTATTTAGCATGACAGACATACGGGCGAAAGTTTTGCATACTTTAGCTCAATGAACGACTTTCTCCACAGATTATATTAATAATAAATTGTATAGGAATACTTATGAAACCGATGATCGTTTAAACATGTCTATTTTAAACTATTCAGTAACATTTATGTTAATAAAACACTTTATCACACACCATTTTAGGATAACAAAATTAGGAAACAATTTCTGTTCCACTATAAACAAATTACTACTCCAATCCTATAGAATAAGGTTTAAAATAGATTAACATCACCTAGAATGAATTTCAGATTTGAAAACAAAATGAATCTTAATATTAGTGGGATACAGTTTATATTACCTTGACATCATCTTCTAGAACATATCCGAGTTCGATTCTCCACCACGGCTGCATGGGTATATTGAGAGGTACGCGTGGGAGTAGGGCGCGGATGGCCTTGGCACGTCCTCGGCGACCTAGAGACCTCGCTTTGGCCACCAGCTCTAAGTATTCATTCCGACCAATACCTAGCAATCGGAGACCTACAAAATAAGTTTGAAATAAAGTTTTAGTCACAAGTATCTGACCTATGTTGTAATGTTAGGTAACTTTTTTTCGTGATTACATCTCATCAGCTTCATTTTACTGTTCGCAAATTATATTCATGTACAATAAAGACTACTACTCTGTTTAACATTTCTTGCAGAGTAAACAGATCCAACTTTATTAAATATAACAGTCAAACAATTTCATTTTTTCATGCATATAAGACACAAATAGAATACACTAGCTACTTCCGCGCGGTTTCACACGCTCTGCTCAGCTCCTATTGGTCGTAGCGTGATGTTTTATAGCCTATAGCCATTCTCGATAAATGCGTTATTCAACACAAAAATAATTATTCAAATCAGACTTGTAGTTACTGAGATTAGCGCGTTCAAACAAACAAAAAAACAATGTCTTACGCTTTATATAATAGTATAAGAGTATAAGATATAAGATAAGTTCCCATCCTATCCCCAAAAGGCCCAATTGCCAAAACGAGGTAACTCGTTTAGTGTTACAGACGTCCATGGGCGGTGACGGATGCTTACCATGATCCATCTGTTTTTGGGCCGTTTTATACCATAAACTAAATAGATATAATAATAAACATTTATTTCGAACCATATTTCTTTTATCCATAGCTTTGTGTGTGCCTGCATATCCCGGTACCCGGTATAACCGGTGACCGCTCTCCACTAACTATATTATAGACCTTATTTTCAATGTCTAGAGACTACTTTTGTATGAACAAATTTAGGGGATGATTTTCAACAATTTTCACCGGGTTAGTAACAATATTACTCAAAATTACGTTAGTATTGTTAGATTATATGTTCTGGGTGTGTTCCACCCAGTGTCTCAGGTCACACTCACAGTCAGCAGCAGTGAAGTTGGGCATAGTATCATAGCTCTTCTCCAGCTCAATGAGGAGCGCCACCACCTCCACATAGTAAATGAATGGGGTTATTCTCAAACCTACAAACAAAACAATGTCACTTTAATTATGATACCTGGACCAACCTAAACTGAAATTACGATTGCGAGATCTCTTTGCTCATAGTCACATTTACGATCACTCAACCAGTCAGTCTAAGTTGGTACATGTTTACTTGATACAATTATAAATAAATAAATAAATAAATAATCTTTATTCATAAATTAAATGGACACAGATACAAAAATATTCCCAGGATAAGTCAATTCACACTTTTACACGATGACGCACGTTTTGTCCAGTATTAATGTGCAATTGTTAATCTAGGTCACGATATTGCAATCGTAATTATTTTATTTTATTTTCTAATAAGTTAATCAAGACGTCCGATTCATATGAAAGTACATTATATAAATTATGTTTTATATCTGTGTATATGTTTCGCATAGTCATAGTTTCCTCGCCTTTTTTTCAGCGATTCTATTCAGTAATTTACAGTGTACAATTGTACATTCATTGATATGTATAAAATACAAGTTTGCTAATCAATAAATATTATAAATGTGAAAGTAAATGTTGGTTACACTTTCACTTATAACTGTTGAGTAGATATGAAATATGGCATAGAAATAGTACAGATAATGAAAGAAAATGTAACCAATTTAGTTTTTTTTTTAAATAACATTGCTCCACATTTGTATTTTCTCCTGTGTCGTGAATGTGTTTTAAAACATTCAAGTTTACATACACATGACACTCAGACCCGAAACAACAATTTGTGCATTACACAAAGAGTTACTCTATGCAGGAATCGACCCTGACACGTTGCGCGGCAGCCGGTTGCCTAGGCACCACATCCACCGTGTCATCAGTTTGTGGGGATTAGCAACTAACAACTTATTTATTAAAAAAGACAGGCAATATGATGATTTTACCTACCCATTTTTGAATAACAAATGTGATATTCATGTTATGTATGTATTTATTTCATTATTAGATAAATACCTATATTGACATTACATGATAACAAATGTAATTGATAAGCTGTAATTGAACTTTAGAAGACCCTGAATGATTCACTTTATAAAATGTAAAGACAATAACTTAATAGGCACTTGTGGTTAATCTTGTCAAACAAGATTTTTATCTATTGCTTTTACACTTTCAATTTTCAAAAATAATTTAAACTGTCAAACACCGCAAGGACACCGGTGACCGCAACCTATAGTTCTTTAATTGTGTCTATAATGACGGTACTCAACGAGTTAAACCAACATAACATTATAAAATCAATTTAATAATAAATTAGTAAGAGTCTATACTCTTCTTCATGTCTGCTTTCAACCACTGGTTTAGCATATAAGTATGGTGGACCAAAGGTAGAAAATAGTGATCTCTTTTTCCCTTTTCTAACCAATATGTAAGTTTAAATAACTTTAATGGTTTATTTATTTATTTAATACCTAAGCAACACTGTACATTATTCTTTCCTGTCTCATATAGCGGCTGTCAAGTCAAGAGGTTAAAAAAATAATTAGGTAAGTATAACATATTTAATAACTAACCTTTCACAATCATATCTGCTAAGTGATAGGGGTAGAGCATGAGCCTCTGTATGCTGCTCTGCACAAGTGTCTCATAATACTTCTTCTCATCTTTCCGAACTGTCCTCACTGTGATACAAATCATATTTAATTCATAATTGTTGATATTTCTTTACAATTAATTCATTTAGCAATGTAATTAAACACATTTGTATGCAAGATAATGTTATTGTAATTTGATTAAAACACATCTGTTAAGAAGGTCAATAAATTAATGTTTATTCAAGAGAGAAATGTCAAATCTGTTCCAAGGATCATTAAGTTACATTCAATAATATAATTTAATAAATAGATAATTAACAATCAACACTCACCAAGGCTCCCTCTGTACCTCAATTGATTTTTAATACTAAATTCGAATATGTACCTTTCATATTCTTTTGGAGAATCACCCAACAGCTGAAACACCAAAACAAATACTCAACTTGTATGTCACTCACTTCATGATAGGGAAACAGTGTATGTGATTAATTAACCACACTTATTCCATACTCTCGCTACTGAAGATAAACATCATTAGCATTGATAATTTAAAACAATAACAATACTTATAGTTTACCTTTTTTACAGTCGCTGGTAATTGCGACCACTGTGTCTTTTTTCTGATACATTCCTCAATTTCGTCTTCCATGGTACTTGACCATTTAAATAACGATTAAATAATTACATTGATAGCAAGTTACTCGCAACGGCCTTGGATAAATGGATAAACTGCACAAAATATTTTTGATGATAAAAGCAAGCAAATACCAATGTTGCGTTCAAAGCAATCACTAAAAAATCATTCAATGTAAAAATGTAAATAAGCTAAGAATAAAAAGAATAACTTAATTTATTAACTGAAAAGATATTGTTTAAATTAAGATGTTTTATACTAATAACTAAATCATTTGTTCAAATTAGACCAAAACAAACCTAAATAGTCTTTTGTGTGCATTTTTATAAGTATCTGTCCCTGTGTAAGGACTAGAATCGTGTATTTGAACGTACTTGTCACTTGTCATTAAGAATTTGACGCAAAACTGGCAAAGTTGCCATAAAATAAAAAGTATAATCGATCGATTTTATTTCACTTTGAAAAAACAAGGAATTAAATAAGAAACATAATTATTATTACCGGAAGAGGGTACGGCCAGGGTATGGCCTTGTAGCCAATATAAAATTACTGTATGTAATTTAAAAGAAAAGTTACATTTTACCAAGCCGATGTTGAGACTGATTATATACTACTATATTTTATGTACAATTTTATGTTGTTTACTGAGAATAAAATCTCTCAATGAACACATTTTGGCAAAAAACGAATGGGAAATTATATTTACGACATTAATACACCACATTTTTAGGTATGAAAAACATTTGAAACATTTGAAATTGATGATTAAATAAAAAAAAACAGTATTATTTAATACTTCATTATAATTAAAAATAACAGTTTACTTGTTTGTGCTGCTCGCTTGCTTTTACATAAATCTTTTCATTAGGTGGATACCCACCACAATATTATAAGAATTCTATCAAATGTATGTGATATTCGTATTCATATTGTTGCAATCGGAAACAGAACTTGATATTAATCCCAATGAAAAAGTTGATTCAAAAGCCGTATGAATTTGATTAATCATATCTGATGCCAACATTGATTGTCCGTGAATTAAATAGGCTTTATAATTACTCGTTCTGGTTATCTTTGCTGCTGCATATGCAGCAACACTTTGAGCGAGTTGCGTTTGGCTTTCATGTTTACAGAGTTCTTTGTTCAAAGCCCAATGGTAAAATGTGCCCAGAGCTCCAGATAATATATCTCCTTGTCCTCCAACTCGACGCGTTGAACCACCTCCTGTAGCTATCCAGCTGTAGGATGTCATATTTGAGTAGAAGTGGTCTTTATCACCTTTTACCAAAACAGCTACACAATTTCCCCAATAATTGTACCAGTTACTATCGTTTTCAGAAACAGATTCCATTAATCTATTCGCTTCTCGTAAATTCGGTGTCATGATCACTCCAGGACATGGATAATCTTTAATTAATGATGTGTTTTTGGATATAGCAAAAATACCATCCGCATCAATAACTAGGGGTTTTTTCAGTCTTCTACAATCTTGAATAATATCAGATATTAATTGTATTGTATCAGGCTCTCTACCTAACCCAGGTCCGATAATGACGACATCCATTTTTGGTAAAAGTGCACTGATTTTAGATGCATATTTAGGGCTCAAATAAGGGTATACTATGAGATCTGGACTATAAGTCTTTATAACGTATGCTGCACTATCTGTAGTTATAATATAAGCTAAGTCTCCTCCAACCTGAAAGTCAATTTACATTTTTATTTTTTCAATCGACCATTAAATCAAGACTTTAATAGAACTAACGTGTACATATTTTTTTTCAAAATTATGTGAGACATTTTTGTGTTACAATCAATTACCCTAAAGGTATGTTTCACAATTGTACGTTGCAGCAATTTATTCATATTTGGAAACTTATTAAAAAAATTGGGGGGCTTGCGTCAGTGTACACTTGTGGTAGATAATGGTCATACTTAATCACCTCGACTGTAAATGTTTAAAAAATGCCAAAATTATTATTTCTAGAAAATTACATAGTTTTCATGTTTAACACGTTAAACTGGTTTCTGAAAAATATATTTACCTACCAAACACATATTAAAAATTGTCACCTTTTTTCTTTCTTTTATCTTTTTTCAACTCATTATGTGATGTTAAAGTATTAAATTAAACCAGTGAATAAAAAATGCCTACCTTTAATGACGTAATTGCTGAGAAATATGGTGCTCCTGTATATTCTATAGAACCACCAATTACTCCTATTTTGCCTGCATCTCCTTTAACTTTTCCAACTTTATCGGGAACAATTGCTTTACTAAGAAGTCTAAAAGTATTTGGTTGAAGCTTACTGTCTAAGAAATTACATCGGTCTTCAATTTCATCACACCTTATTATAAAAATTAATTCAAATACTACAAAAATAAAGTTAAGTTTCATATTCAAGAATTTAAAAGTCAATAACCGATCACTAACGTAGTGTACTGGTAGTTTTTCACTTGATAATGTCGTTAAAACTTTGTTATCAACTGGTTATTTGTGTACAGTAACTTTTATTTATATACATACGGCACACGTAGGATTCATAGGTGAAGGTCATGTTAAAAAATAATTTAGATACGGACGGCTGGGAAAAGAATCAAAAGTACTGCTAAAATATTGTGCATTATACATTATAAATAAAGTATTTTATCGTAAATAAATAAAAATAGATTGTGCTATAAAAATTAAATGCGCATCTTGATTGATTGATATTATGATTTTAAGTCGATTTCAGAACGTTTGTATTTAATAAATCTTCCGTATTACAAATGTGGTTTTATGGCAATACTTTCGTAAGTTGTCAAAATCAGTCGGCCGTGGCTCTGAAATAACAACAAAAATTTTGCTCCTGCTATTTTGGTGTAATATTACATCAAAATGGACGATTATTATGAAACTGTAAAATTGTGCTACACGGTTCATCGATACTCCAGCTACAGCAGTAATTATATACCTGAGTATGTGTTTGTTATATTGTGTGTTATGCATTTTCAATTTCGTTTGTAAAAAAGAAATCCCGGTTCGAGATATTTATTCGCATTGTTTGCCGAACATTTGAGATTTGATGCGATAACTTATTGTTTTGTGTATGTTGGAGTAAATATACTTTAGATTGGTGAGTAGTTTTTTGATAATAAATGAAGTAAAATGAGCGCTTGTATTTTCAGAAATATTATGGTAAATAACCCCACTGACCAGCTGTCGAGATGGTTTACTGATAGCAACTCGCCATCTCAGTATATAATGCTGAAATTAAAGAGTCCATCTATTGTGGAGTCAATAAAATTTGGCAAGTACATAAAAGCACATGTGAGTGACCTGAAGAAATTTCAAATTTATGGTGGAATGGACGAAAACAATTTATCGTTATTACTAACAGCGTGAGTACAGAAACATTTTTATCTATTTATTTAAATATTTAAATAAAATAAGTTTACTGAACTGACTACCCCAATTCACGAATCTACATAAGCATTTATAATAGAACTTATTCTTTAATATTTTATATTTAATATTCAATTTATTAATTCAATTGAACAACAATAATTACTAATTTCTTAATATTAATATGCATATTACTAATAAACTTTATGCTCATATGCACTTAAAAGATTACTCATAGACCATGGTCACTACCCACGGACTCAAGCAATCAGGAAGCATGTAATAAATAGTATGACAACAAAACATAATAAATGCTTCTATAAAAATACAGTTGTTCAAGGTTACAAAATATTTGTTTCTAACATAACATAACATCACGCCTTTTAGCCCCTAAGGGGTAGGCAGAGGTGCACATTATGGCACTTAATGCCACTGTACAATGTAACACCCACTTTTCACTATTTATGTTATGAGTCCCATGTAATAGGGGGTGAGCCTATTGCCATATACCGGGCACATTTTCAGACCCCGTGCTACTACTGAGATATTTAAAAACCCAGTAATACTTTGCCCGACCCAGGAATCGAACCCGAGACCCCTTGTCTGACAGTCGCACTTGCGACCACTCGGCCAACGAGGCGTATTTGTTTCTAATAATTTGAATAAAACTGTGTGGGTTACATTTCAAATCTTTGACAGTTATGATTTCAATGTTTTTCCACCTGCTTAAGTAAAACAACAAGTGTAGCAAGGTATATTTTCAAAGACAGTTTTTCAAGGTCAACTCAAACTCAAAAGCATTTATTTCAATTAAACCATATTTTGGTACTTGTCAAGTCAACAAATATGAAATATATATTATAGTCTGTCAGTCTGTCCGTTAGGGAAGCTAGGCACTCGTTCCAAAATGTCGATTTGAGTGGAGATGAACGAGCAAGAAACTCCATTCGTTACTCTTTTAAAAATAGTCTATTTTACATTGCTCTGATACATATTCCAACAAAACTGTATATTACATATTTTGTAAATTTTTTGAGATAGGTATAAACTTTCTACAAATATTCAACAACAGAAACTTGCTCGGGCTGTCCAACCACATTTTATTCAAGGTCACAAAAAATTATTTCGGAGTTTCTAAACAAAATAATATTCATAACATTTTTAAATCTTTTAAATTATTTATATTATTTCATTGACTACCCTAATTTAAAAAAAAATAATTTTGCTACCCAGACTTACCAAAATATTGATTAAAAATTTATAAATTTACAAATAAATAATTAAATAAATTAATAAATCAAAAATTAATATAAAAGTTAATAATATTGGTTTCTGGTTATATTTTAATAAATCTGTATTTATAATAAATACAGATTATAATAAGTAAATAAGAAATAAATGTTAATTGTTAAACTATAACTTTTTTTGTTTACTTCTTGCTAAAGTAATAGTAGCTCTTATCATCTTTACCCTGATGATCTACAACTATACACTCAGGCTGACATCGCTAACTTAAACACCTGCATAGAACATCTCAACACTGACTTGCTTGCGATTGAAGACTGGTCAAGGAAGTACGGGGTTGCAGTGAATGTAGGCAAATGTCAAGCCCTCATCTTGGGTAGTTCCTATTAAATCCTATTACTTGAATAACCTAAATGTCAATCAGCTTGATCCGATAACATTTAATCAAACCACCATACCATTGTCGCCTCAAGTAAAGGGTCTAGGTTTGTATCTGGACAGCGGGCTCAACTGGAACTATCAGGTTGCTCAGATTGGCCGGAAAGTCACTGCCACGCTACGATCTCTCTAGTGGTTCAAGAACATTCTGCCACTAAATATCAAGACACTGCTTGTCCGGTCCCTTGTGCTTCCTGTTATTGATTATGCTGATGTTTGTTACTCCGATCTATTCCAAGACCTTCTTAACAAATTGGATTGAATGCTCGATAACTGTATCCGCTTTATCTTCGGTCTTCGTAAATACGACCACATCTCTTCCTTTCGCGCTTAGCTTAAATGGCTTCCTGTCCATCAGAGGAGATCCTTCAGATCCTGCATGCTTTTCTCTATTCTTAATGATCCTTGTGCTCCAGAATACTGAAAATCCTGCTTCCAGTTTAATAACTGTATAAATAACTGCCTAATGGCAGTTGCCACAACTGTAACCCCACTCGACGAACAACTTGCTTCTTGAAAATCTGCAAATACCTTCCCACCGCACCTCTTTTATTTCTAATTCCTTTACAATAAGTGTCATCAAACTTTAGAACGCACTCCCCTCAATATCAAAAAAGCTCCTAATAAAATCTCTTTTAAACAATTTTATTTTAAATCGCTGCAACACATGGTTCAGTTCTTCGTCAATATATATTTATGTATGTATTTATACCTATATATTTTATGCATATGACTATATATACTATTTACTATTATGTAATATATATGTATAGCTATATTATTTAATACTTACCTTTTTTTCTCTCTCTTTGCTGTTAGTTCATTCTCCGTACCTTATTTTTCGCTGATTTTCTACTTTAACCCTAAGGTTGACTGGTAGAGAATGCCATATGGCATTACTTTATGTGCCATAATAAAATTTTGTACATAAAAAAATAAATAAATAAATAAAATAAATAGTATGGCCATATTAGCATGGTGTTTTTGTAAGTCATCAAAAATACTACAGAAGCATGGTAATTTTGCAATATTCAAAATACCATACAGAATGACTAGTATATTATTACCAGGCCGAGTTACAAAATACCATGAAAGACAAAAGCAAGGTAGTTTTGTATAGGAACAATGTTACAGTACAAAAAATAAAACAATAGGTACAAATCGCCATGGTTAACATAGAATAAAATACTATGCTTCAATTGTTGCTTTCGACAAAAAGATAATATCTCTTTTCCAAAGTAGTAAGTATTGTCTCTCATTGTCATCACCAGGCCGTTTCTGACCATCATTTTCAATTAATTAATATAAATTAACACGTTAAACGCCATGGGGGTCACTGGTGACCGGCGTTAGCGAAGGATTTACCTTCAACAGTTGTTTATTGGCGGTCAAAGTCTTAATATAAAATATTTTCATTTGTAATTAATTTCAATCACATTAAGTAATTGCTGATTTAATAGGGTTGTACCTAGTCGGTTGCAAAAAGTAACATATTTTTATTAGGTTAATATAATAATTATAATCATCATAATCAGTAAGTATGAAATACTTGCTCAAAAGTTAATCCAAAATGCAATTCTCAAAGTATTTAAAAAAGTATAAGTTTAATTAATTTTGAATAAGAAATATTATCATCTCATAGCTGTAGCAATGGCATTTCCGGGTAATTAATGCATAAAGAAGCACTGCTAATGATGAAAATAATTTGAATTTTGTTTATTGATTATAATTATTGATTTTCATTTCATCATCTCATGTTCCTATTATTATTAATGTAAAAAGTCAGTGTTTTCTAACAATATCATTGTACCTATAAAAATGAAGTCTTCGTCACTGTCACCTAATAAAACTACTACCCCTGGCATTAAATTAAAACAATAACAACAACTCGTTATAAAACTTTAACAATACACTTTCGTCGCCGCAAGTGTACTCGGAAGCGAACGGACGAAGACGCGGGGCGGGGGGGAGGGGGGATTGTCTCACGGACCAATCACAGGGTGGCGTCAGCACTACCCCGCATCCCATTTACGTACCAAAGGGATTTAAAATAAAATTTTACACTTTTAGTGGCCTCAGAAAGGACAGCGCGTCAGAAATATTTCGGCTGCGGTGTCGAACGGCCGAGGGCTTGTTTCTCCCCATACAATACATAAAGATAGTTCCGCTACAATCGTGGGGCCCTGCGTACAACTATACCATTTGGTACGTTGAACTGACTGGGAAGAACCAAGAACAAATCATTAGTAACGCGATGGAAACGATCAACTTGGTAAGTTAAATAATCTTTTTTAAATTAATGACCTTCTAGCAGAGTAGGGCAAATTGAAATCTAACTACTGATTATTAACTACAACTACTTAAAGTAGTTAATAATCACGATTAAGTTAAATAATCGTAAAAAGTAGTTAAAAATTTTGATTACTAACTAATTTTAAAGTAAACGAGATTACTTTTCATAACTACATATTTAAAATAATACTGCGTTTTATAAAAAAAGTTAAAGCTCGTCACTGATATAACTAAAGTATTATGTATATTTCTACGTGGGCTTAAGGCTAATGTGAATGATTAGCCCAATTGACATATTTTTATTATAGTTGATTCGCAAATTATTCAAATTGTGTCGAAGTTGTCAATTAAACTGAAGATATTTTATGCAGTCAGGTCTTGTAATTATGTAACAACACATTACAATGTTTATTTAATTGCAAAATATTAGACTGAAAGGACAAATAATCAGTTGTTACAACTACTAGATTACAGTAATCAAATTAATAACTACTTCATGTAGTTAGATTACTTTAGTTAAGTTCTGTAACTTAGTTGATAGTTGTCTGTAAAACTACATGTAGTTCTAACTACGTGCAATCATAACTACATGTAGTTAACTACTTTGAATTGATCACAAAATAGTAGTTAATACCTACATTGCCTTCTAGTAGCATAATTAATTTAAGCTACTTTACACGTCTTTCCGCAATATCTTAAACCTTCTATAAGTTTTCTTTATTTTTCTGAATTCTGTCCAATCTTTTTTAAGTAGAATTTTAATTTTATTTTCAGAGGAAGGAAGAAGAGGCTATACGTCTGTTGCTAAAACATTTACGGCGACGACGGTATAAGGACGCTTTCGAAGCATTATCGCGTGAAAGCGGAGTGCAACTCGAAGGGCCGATGCAGTCCAAACTATGGAACGCTCTCGTTGAGAAGGGTGATTTCAAACTAGCAGAACAGATTTTTGATGAGGCAGTCGCTGGTAAGATATTGTTTTTATTACTTGTTATAGCATGGTTTTGAATCGCAAAATTTGCTTCAGAATGTCAAAATAATATTACAAAATCTCTTTATAAAAATTTGATCTATCAGATGCAAAATCCAGTTGTTGTGGAAATTAATAGTCTAAAAATCGTCATAAAGCTTTCAAATCTGGTCGAAATACTCGTAATGATTTCGATTTTGCTTGCTAAATGCGCAATAAGTCGTAATTACTATGCCAATTAAATAAATTGTGTATAACTTTAATAAATACAGTTAGTCTAAATGTCTACTACATTAGTAATAACAACCAAATAATTATTTGAACGAAAATATTATAATAATTATGATAACGGATAAGGTTGTCACTTTGCTAATTGATTTTTTATTTATTGTCAATATACAAGTTGTAACATAAATGACTTTTTAGTTTGTTTACTTACACCTTTAATTATACATAGTGAAATCTATTTCATTGTCGTCCCGCGGCAGAACATCTTGCCCAAAAGAGTTCTTCCGATGTATAAAGTAAAAACAAAAATATGTTGTCATTTTTTTATTTAAAAAAAGTTTAATGGAAATACGCACATGAAACACTAGACGTTTTGTGGATAGTATTCGCATCGCACGTACCAACTGACGAGAAATACCACATGGCGTGATGTTTTGATAATGTACTATGAGTTCGTATGCGCTTTCGAAGTTTGCTTTTTGCAATGGTTCACCAGTTGTTTTTTATTTGAACAATTGTATGTCTATGTAATACTACTGTATTACTAGGGCAGAACCATTTTACTTCTGGACAAAAACGAAATAGATTAGAAATAGAGGCATCACAGGGTGCGTTGAGTTGAGAACACTATATCAATTAAATTCAATTTACTTAATTTGTCTACATTAACCAAATTTGCAATTAATAAGAATTATATAATTGGTAACAACTTTTGTTATCAAAACACAAACAAAAATACAACAAAAAAAAGAATAATCAAGGTCAAGATAAAGGACACAATTATTAAAAGCTCAATAATAAAACAAATATTTTGGTAAATAAAACAAAATCGGTTGCGGAATAAATCAAGTCAACAGTGATTTAATAACACAAAAGTCAACAACACACCACAACACTAAGCATCAACAATCCCAGAACAGCTCTTTGTCTAATCTATCACTAAACAAATCAACCCTCTCACAGACAGAGTTATAAGCTCTGTGCCTTTAGCCAAACGCCACTTTAGCGCTTGTCTACAGAGAGAGTAGAAATCAAAATGTATGGGGATAACACTGACAAGTGTCAATATTTACGTAAATTCCATATAATTTGGTTTTCTATTCTACATGTAGACAAGCGCTAAGTGGCATTTGGCTACAGCTGCTGTATAGACGAGATATGGCGGAGAACCTCTTTAGGTTGGTTCTGGCAGACGGCTGGTGCAGCAAACCCGCGTTAATTAGGCACTCGTCGAGTTACACGCAAATTCTTAGTACCTTGTACATGAACGTTATGTCAAACAGTTTTCTACGAACATTTTTTTTAAACCGTTTAAACCGCGATAAACCACAATATTACAAGCTGGTATTACAATTAATTTAACGCAATAAGAAATATGCAATTTAGTTAATAAATATTAACAAACAAAATCTTATGTCTTAAGAGAAATACAGGCTTTTTAATTTAATTTATATATAGATATATGATTTAAAAAGTAATCTATCTGTAATTTAATGTTTCAGAGGGTGAACTAGACTGGTACCTAAGTTGGCAGCCGTACAGTCCCCAATGGCGCGAGATGTCGGCGTGTTCCTCGCAGGTGGAGGACAGGCTGTGGAGCGGCGAGGCCCCGCCGCCGCCGCCCGCCCGGCAGCACGACCTGCTCTGTGCCGACAGGGACCCCCGCCCTGATACCGCGGTGAGTACACTTTTACTAATCATTTTTAATCATCATCCTCGATGCCGATGGTGGCGCACGACTATTAAACCGTTTCTTACATGGTCCATAACTCATTTGTGATACCTTCGCTTGCTATGGTACTATAGGCTATAGAGTCTGCTTACCTTAAGGCGGGTAAGTGAACATTGTTGTTTTTTTTAATGTATTTTTGCTATATTTTGTTTCAAAATCGAGATTAATTTTACCTAGAAGGAAAATATGTAATTAATAAAATGTCTTTTTTCCTATTATGTTATCGATGTCACGTTATACGACAGGCGCTAATTATCATAAATATTCGTTAAACTTAAGAGAATAAGTATTAAAAAAAAACAACAAACTTTCATAATTATGTCTGGTTACAATTTCTAAACTTGAAACTAAAATCTCGGAAATCTTAGACTAGGTAGTCCAATTTATTTGTTCATAATTTTATTTAACTGAATTATATCTTATTACCAAGTTCTTAATCCCCATTTTCGATTACACAGGAAGCGCCAGTAAACGGTGCAGATAATAGTGAGTCGTGCGAGAGTGCGAACGCCTGGCACGTGATCTTCAACAGGCCCGGGCCTCGGGGCGGACATCAACTCGTCGTGGACTCTACGACTGGTAAATATTTTTGAAAATGAAGATACCTACGTTACATAGTAGTAAAATTTTATAAATTTGTATTCCCAATATGTAACTGGCCGATTTGAGACCTTTTCTCGGCAGTCACTTTTGACTGACACAATCTCTGTTTCGTTATCATCTACTTTTTACCGACTTCAAAAAAGGAGGAGGTACTATGTTCGGCTGATTGTTTTTTTTTATGTTGTTTCGCGCATTTCTCCGCCATTTGTGAACCGATTTCTATTTTGCTTTTTAGTTTTGACTTTTTGTTTATTATTACCAGTTATATTTGAGTCCCGTGAATTAGGGGTTTACTTATTAGCATACACCGAATTCTAGACACCAGGCTATAATTGAAAAAAGTTTTAGAAGACATGAAGAAGAACCTATACTACACACACTTGTGATCGCTAACCAGCTGACGAAAACTCAAACTCAAACTCAAAAGCATTTATTTCACTTAAACCATAATTTGGTACTTTGGAAACGTCAACAAATATGAAATATATAATAGTCTGTCAGTCTGTCCGTCAGTGAAGCTAGGCGAAAAATATGAAAACGAATAATAATACTATCAATTCTACCAGGTACCCTATATCTCTTCGGAGGCTGGAACGGATCAGAGGATTTAGATGATCTCTGGTCGTTTTGCACGACCAGCGAACGCTGGACTCTGCTGTGTAAGCACAGCGGAGAAGTCGGTGGTCCATCTCCCCGGTCATGTCATAAAATGGTCTTTGATCCCGTCCACCGACGCCTCTTCACTCTTGGCAGGTATGTAATCAGAATTGTGTACATAATATATATACGGCTGGAAATAACCGATTTTAATCCAAAGCGCACGCGTCTCATGCATGAGTCCAGGGTTTGACTGGAAAATAGCAGAGTTTCTCTCTTATAATTTACTTAAGTAAGCCATTAATTTCAATTAGCCTTATATATGATCTTGCACTTTTGCAAATTTTAATTTCGCTCCAGGTACATCGTCTTCAGTTAATTCCATTATAATTATACACGTTTGTCGTTGTTGTCTATTAACCCGTGGTATGCCGGGAGCGTAGATATATGCGAGACACAATGTGTTTTCTATTGTTTCTCATAAGAGGTTAATAGAGAATTCGAAACATATGTACCCCCATACCGGTGCTGCCCCTAGCGGATATTTTTTTAATCTTCCCAGGAGAAAGGCTAATTCATTCGCGATTTGGTACGCTCAGCTAACATAATGATTATACCATTATCATACATTGTCTTAGTGATTGACTGATTGACATACAATTTTAATTTGACAGTTATTTTTTGTATCTGGACAACGACGCGCAGAATTACCTGTCATAATTTTTTAAATAATTAAATTTTTTAAACAATTTTTTTTTTTTTATTATTGAAACTCTACCGTTAAGAACTTTTTGTAATGATTGACTCTTATTGCAGGTACTTGGACAATGCTCAGCGTATTCCGCCGAACATGAATGTAAGTTAATTTTACATTATTTACAAGAAAAATAACATTTTGCAGTAAATACCTTAGAATGGTCAATAGAGGTCTTTAGAATGTACTACCTATTACCGTACGTTTTTTATAGTATAAGCAGGCAAACGAGCAAACAGTGATCTGTCGGCTCGTGGTAAGCAATCTGAATGATAAGGTACCTCTGATATAAGTAATCGGCGCCGCCCCTAGACACTCGCAACACTGTAGGAAATGCGTTGCCTATTGAAGGTTATTCAGTTGAGGATTGCGATGGGGGGGGGGGTTAGGCCTCCGGTAACCACACTCATACGGTAAAACAACATTCCAAGTCGGTTTTCTGTGAAGCTGTGATATCACTCCGGCTTATTTGTACCGATGCATGGCTCTCCCAACATTTGAAATTAATTATTACTTATTGACCTGTAAAACTTACCTTGTAACCCACTTGCAGAAATGAATATAATGTAACACGTGTTTGTTTCTAGAGCGACCTGTACGTGTACGACGTGGCGCAGGGCTCGTGGTCGCTGGTATGCGCGGACACGGCGGCCGCGGGCGGCCCGCGCCTCGTCTTCGACCACCAGATGTGTCTCGACGCCGACACACAGACCATCTATGTCTTTGGGGGCAGGGTACTGCCAGTTAACACGTAAGTTATAAACAAATTATCATTACTATATTTCCTTTATTAATAAATAACTCCTACCCGCGACTTCGTGCAATCCCGTTTTGTCCTGTTCCGATTTTTTTTCTATCGTAAGAACCTTCTCTTGACAATAACAAAAGCAACAAAAAAAGAAACCAAGCCAAATCGGTCTAGCCGTTCTCAAGTTATGGCGTGACAGCGGGAACCGGGTTTAATTTTTATACATATAGATTATTTAATCTCAATAATGCAATTGTAATATTCTGTGATCTTTCGAAGGCATTTGACTGTGTTGAGCACGAGACGATTTTGGTGAAGCTGGAACACTACGGCATTAGAGGGGTATCGCTAAATCGATTAAATATATTCGGGATAGGCAACTTAAAGTGCAAGTAAATGAGGTAAACTCACAGGGTGCTAGCATATCTATTGGTGTTCCGCAGGGCTCAATACTGGGTTCTTTCCTATTTTTGGTATACATAAATGACTTGCCCCATTTATTCCGGAATGAACCGCAGATGGTATTATTTGCTGATGACACTTGGTTGACATTGACATTCAGTTACTTCCATAGCATGATGTCATATGGCATTCTACTATGGGGACACGCTGCTGACATTGAGTCTATCTTTATCTTGCAAAAGCGCGCCGTCAGAGCTATCTACAGTCTAGGTCGTCGCGAAAGGGAAAGGTTTAAGGAGATCAATGTTATGTATGACCGTTCCATGTCAATTTATTTATGAAAATATTATGTCTGTTAGAAAAAACCTACATTTGTTTAGTAAAGTGTCTGACAGACAGAATTATCGAACTAGACATAAGAATAGATTAAGTCCGCCATTTTTTAGATTGTCAAAAGTATGTACATAAGTCCTTTTTGGGATTCGGTGTTAAATGTTATAACAAAATCCCCCAAGAAATACTGCATCTAAATGAAAGAAAATGTAAACTATGTATTAAAAACCGTTGTGTAGATGCTTGTGCATACTACAAACTAAATGATTATATAGAGGATAAAAATGCTTGGAGGCAAGCTGGTCCAGCTCCGCAGGATAAAACATGAAACAGTGATGTTCAATGAATTCTATTTATGTAATAACTAGCTTTTACCCGCGGCTTCGCTCGCGTCACAAAAGGATAAAAAGTAGCCTATGTGACATATACCAATACACACAGCGCCATCTATACCAATAATTTCGTTTTTCCTCGTGAATATCAAATCTTTCCGGGATAAAAAGTACCCTATTATTTAATCCAGACTTGTAACTTTACGTCTGCAAAAATTCAAAGCAATCGGTTTAGTAGTTACGGCGTGAAAGCGGAACAAACAAACAAACTCACTTTCCGATTTATAATATTAATAAGGATTTAATCATGTTGCTTAAATGTTTGTATAGTGTAAAACTTTGCACAATTTATTGTAAATGTGAGAGCCCTGCAATTAATTAAATTAAATTAGACTAGTAGAATGCATTTGTGTCAGCTTGGAGTTGTCTCACTCAAAGATCTCATTGGGTGTGGCACGTGCATTGGATCACTCGATTCCCTACAAAATGGTTGAGTTGGGCGGTGCTGGGGTACGTGTCATGTTCGTGTACGGGCACCGTCGATTGGGACTGGTCAGCTCCAGACTGTATGATATTATGGTCCTCAAGGTTATTTTCTTTTTCAATCTCTTTGACTGCATTTAGGTGTTGCATTGTTCTCACATAATCGAACCAACAAAATTATGTAACTAGAGAATTGTATTGTAAACCCGATTGAAAAAGAGTAACCTATTGAGTTTCTTGCTCCTTCTTCTCCTTTCATCATATTCCATAGGAATCAACACCTTGGAATGAGCAACTTCTAAATTTTTTTGTTGTTGACGTTCAAAAGTCCTGGTCTAATTGAAATAAATGATTTTCACTTTGACTTTGACAATACAAATTGTTTGAATTAAGGTCGATTTTTAACTGCCACAGAGTTGCTGGTAAAATCTGAATCAATGTAGTGATTTTTAATTAAGATTGGTTAGTGATTTCGGCCTAATAAACGATATTCCAGTAATTGATCATTATTAAATTAATTGTACTGTGTTCTGTATAATTTTATTCCAGTAATATAATGTATTATAGAAATCTAATTAGTAGAAACGGGGCTCCTATTTATATAAATTGTATAAAGAACCATCTTTTGACTTCATAAACACGAAAAGTTTAACATTTCGTCTCTTTATTCTTTTATTTATTCTGTGTATAATATGTGTATGAACCTCTGTTTCTTATTTGTAGCGGAGAAGTGGTAAGTCCGCAGTACTCCGGTCTGTACGCATATTATATTGCGACCAACACGTGGCAGCTAGTGCTGAGTGACAAGCACGAACTCGACGCGCCCCAAGCACGCGTCTCGCACTCTATGCTGTTCCATCCGGTAAGTCAATAACACATGATAATATTAATATAATTATGAAAAGGAATCTTCTTATGTGTTTGTTTGTTTGTTGTTTTCTCAAAAGGAAAAGGATGCTTGTAACGTGTAACTGCTCATTTAGACACTAATTTTAAATATTTTATTCATATCATAGTTTTATAATCATGCTCAACTAGTTTCGACCGTAACCAGAGCCCTTAATAATTAATTACATGTCAAATTATTTCCAATAAGATTTCATAATATACGTTGTAGTTTTTGATTTATATTTACTTGCTTTGGAATTTGTTTATTTTACGTATATTTTTGCATGATTATAAAAATTTCCCTTTAACATCTGTCTATTTCTATATTATCACTTTATTGAGACATACTAAATTGGTTATATCTTGGTTAGTATTTATTGACTTACTCACTGTAACTGTTCAATGATAATAGTTACGTAACCAAGAAGAAAACAATGATTAGTCTGTTGTCCATATGTCATATAAGTGTATACTGTGCGTGGGCAGGTGCAGCGTCGCCTGTACATGTTCGCGGGGCAGCGCAACAAGCGGCAGCTGGTGGACCTGTGGTGGTGGGAGCTGGACTCGGGCCGCTGCGGCGCGCTGTGCCAGGCCACGGCCCCGCCGCCCCCGCCCGGCGCCGGCTTCACGCAGCGGGCCACGCTCGACCCCGACACTGACGAACTCTTCGTGCTTTCGGTAACTCTTGTTTTTGGTTATTACTCTTATATAAAGTGTGAAAGATTACCCAATTCCCCCCTCCCCCAGTCTCTCCAATCCCCGAATCCCAAAAGGCTGGTAACGCACTTGTAACGCCTTGGTGTTTCAAGTGCCTATAGACACCGTCTATAGACGCTTGATTACTTATACAGATATATAATCTGAGTAAAGTCATAAATTAATTTTGCTGAAATTTTTATCTTATTCATCAACGTATGTATTTTTATTTATTTTGTTGATTAACTCAATTATTTAAAGCCAGCTCGTTTCAGTAACTCTAATATTTTTATATTTTTCTTGAATTAAAATTGGAATTCGGAAACAAGATCATCAATAAGACTCAAATTAATTTTCCACTTACTAACATTCTACCATTCTTCTTCCAGGGCATGAGCAAGGAGAAGGATAAGCGCGTGTATAACAGTCTGTGGGTGTTCTCCCTGCGGCGACTGACGTGGTCCTGTGTGTACAGGAACGATAGCGTCGCGCCTGATGAACCTAAGCCACGGTTCGCACATCAACTCGTTTATGATCCTGTTAAGAAGGTAAGAATTCGAAAATATTCAGCAGTATATACAGTTATAATAATTATGTAATCAAGAACTCACGAAATAATAGATTTACGTCTTACAAACACGAATACGAAAATGCCGCTATTCCACAGATCCATTACTTATTCGGCGGCAACCCCGGCTACCAGCGCAGTCCGCGCGTCCGCCTGGACGACCTGTGGGCGCTGCGCCTGACGCGGCCGTCGCTGGGCGCCGTGCTGCAGACGGCGCGCGCCGCGCTGCGCGAGGCCCACTACCAGGCGCTCGCCGCGCGGGCCGTCGCCGGCCGCGGGGACGCCGTCGCCGCGCTGCACTACCTGCGGAACGATCTACATGACGCGCTTGATCATAATAATAAAGAACAGGTAAATACTTTTTTAACTTGCGCGTTTTAAGTGGACTACACCTTTTATATGTAGTTATTTTGCATCTTCTTATTTTGTTCATAAAATCGTTAACTATATCCGTGGAGAAAACTTGAACTACTTCCACGTAACTTTTTTAGTAATGGTTTCTTTTTGTCTATGCCGTGTCATAGATTCTATATTGCATTCTAGTCGATTACTTTTTCATTGAACTTTCATTCACATTCAAAACTTGAATTTCTTTCTATTGAAAAATTAACTTTTTATCTGTATGTAGAAAGGTATTGTTTTACATGGTTTATATTATATGTCGCAATACACATGTATGTTTTAAATGAACAATTTTAACCAGTTTTTTTCCTTTGTGTGCAGGTGGCTCGGTTCCAGAAGTTGGCGACAGTACTGTTCGCGGGTCCGTCCCCGGTGGAGCCGGGCACGGCGCCCCTGACCCCGCGCCGCACTCGCTCCCTCGCTCGCCGCCGCCGCGCCACGCCGGCAGCGACTGATATCGCGTTTTCTCTGGCTCAGGTTTGTACCACTTTTTATTATATTAAATTTTCGACCATCTTGTAACTGATGCTATTTTTTAAGATCAAAAAACAAGAATAAATATAAACTTTTTTTTACTTAGCATCTACAAATCATTGCCAAATTTATACTATGGATCATCTTAACTAAAAGCATTATCATCGTTTTCAGGTCTTAGGCGCAGATGAACCGTACTCAGAACCCACGCAGCCATTCGAAGAGTTAAACGAACCTGCACCAGACACATGGGACGTTGGTCAAGATGACGAGCTTTCCATTGAACAAGAAGAAACCGACGAGTGGAATGCGCGGGCGCAGCGCATGAAACTGTATGAATGGTTGTGTAGGTTCTTCAGGCCATCGACCGTGCCGCCTAAGGGTGACATCACAGATATGGTTATACTGTAAAAGGCCCTTTTGCGTTAGTCGTGAAACTCTTTGGTATGATGATACTGATAGGCAGGTAACGATACGTACGTGATAAGTACGTACTTAAGTACTCTTTTAAAGTCAAAGAATAATGATTGTAATATCATATCCGACTTATGTCCAAATACTCATTCGTCACCCAATTTTAAGACGCACTGAAGTATAGTGCTGTTTCTACAATTTTTTTGTAAAATGACAGAGATGGCACGATATTTAAGTACAATTTAAACATGTGTAGCCTTTCAGTATTCGGACGTTAGATTTTATATTTGTATTCTTATGGCCGCGAGATTGGTTTGTTACTTAGTATGGGATCTCAAAAATTGAATAAATTATGTAATGCCACTAAATGGGGATTTTCCGCAGACGAAATTATTTATAAAATCTTATAAACTCTTAATCCTAAAATAAATAAAATATCACCTCTTTTTGTGCAGCTGAGAATTATACACCATAGTCAACTGCATAAATTAATTCGAATTATGACTGACGAAGTCTTTCCAAGCTGTGGTGCTTATTTTATGAAGCGCCTTGATAACATTATGATTTATTTCATTTATAAAAGCTAAGTATTTATTTCTAATATTTAAGAATTGTAGCACTGTCAAAAGGCAGTCAGCAAATAAATTAAAAAAAATATAATCTCGTTCTTAATCTCGTGGTCGCCATACATAATAATGAATAATTCAAAAAATAATGTGTTAATTATAAACTATCGTAAAATAATAATTACGTAATCCATAATTTTACGTATTTCACTATTGACAATTTTTTATATACAAACAAAATGCAATTGTTTTTAGTTTTCATTTTTATATAAACATTGTATGAGCATTTTTAGTTATAGAATTACTATTAATTAATTTTTTGCAAGACTTACACAGTGAATTTGTTGTACATACTTAAACAATATACTTTTAATGTAAGACTAAAGAAAAAGCGCTCAAAATCACCAGAAGTGTTCACTCGATATAAAATTCATGCAATAAATACATTCCCTGAAGATATAATACTCACCAGTTAGATTTATTAAAATAATATTTCTTTTATTCATCTTTCAAATTCATTTAAAAATCGAATTGAATTTGACGTTTTTTATATTCTCCCGTTCTAATTAAATTCAGAATGCAACAAATTCATTTTGTCAGTGTTGCTAGTAATTTGTACATACAAGAATGCCTACTCGAAGCTAAAGATGAGTGTAAGCAACTAAGTGCAAATAAGAGGCTTTGTACCTTGGTAACATTGTAAATAACTTTATTATGCAAAGAATGTATCTAATAAGCGTGTACGCGTGTTCCCTTGAAGTCTAGTCAGCATTGAATACTAAGTTATACGCGATACATTCTCGATTATTGAAGTAAGATACAAAAGACATAATGCATTTCATTTTTGATCATTAACTAGCAGTTTGGGTGATTTTTTTATTGTATTAATCTTTTTTGGCAGCTAATTGATAAGTAACAAGACAGACAACAATGCACATTATATAGTCAGCTTTTATTAGAATTAGAATAATGGAACGCGTAAGTTTACAGTCTGTGATAAAATTGCTGTAACAATAAGTGTAGTGTGACGTAAGGAGCCTGAGCGCGGGCCTTCGAGCTAGGGATTGTTGCCAAATTTTAGTAATACCACAGAAGAAAATGTCTTCTGTATATTTTTATTTTACGTTTTAATTGCGTACAGTGTTACACGTAATAGTTTTTAATGAGGAACATTTGACTGTGTGCAGCATTTGGTTTCTTTGATAAGTTTTATACCTACGTAGTGTAAAATTGATTAATATTTATGTGTAATCGTATGTCTAAGGATGGAGCAGTGGAGTCACTTACTTTGTAGTATTTACAATATCGACGTGTTTCATGTATTACTCATAGCGTACATTATGATATCTCAAGTCACTTAGTTCGACATGTGCAGTAATTGATGGTTAAGCATTCACGTTTTTAGTCAGTCTCAAAAATGTTGATATGCTTTCTGAACTTAGAAATAAAATGCGTAAATTGATATAATCTGTAGTGAAGCTCAATGTGAAATTAGATTTTTAGTTTAAAATACTCCGGATGGACAAGCAGGTACAGTGACCATGTACTGTGCGCACACATTTATGTTGCTAGCTGTACATATATGACCTAAATACTCGACTGTATCTGTATATATTAGTGTTGTATACGTAATTGAGAGAAATTACGTGCGTACGCAACAGACGTCGTGTAAATATATGCATTTTTATTCTTAGACTAAATTATTTGTTTTCAATGTGTAATTTGATGCATTCTCAGTCTGTACATAATATAATTATGCGAAATAAATACAGTTGTTTTATTCATACTTCATATTTTTCCCATATAAACCCTGGTACTGTAGGTTCCTTGAAAGTGTACCAGCGTAGCAAGAGCAACGTAAAAATAAGTAATTTGTACGGATAATACTGGCTGTCGCCTGATTCCCACACGGAACAACTCTGTGTGATCCACAGATTCTTGTTCCAGGTCTGGGTGGTATGTGTATGTGAACTTGTACGGGACAAAATTTAAAAAAATATGTTTTCTACCACCCACTTTTATGCGAAGGGTTCACATTACACTGCGATAGTGATTGTAGAGAGTGAAAGATATGATGTTACCCGTTAAGTTCAATTACTTTATGGCCTGTTTTGTGCTTTTGTTATATTTTTCTGATAACTATTGGAACCTTGCCGATCACTTCGTGCCATTTGATCGTCTACTTCAGGGACACCTCTATATAGCCAACTAGCTAAAACTTCACAAAAATGGTCAGTATAGAAAAAAACCACAGAATATGTTTTAAATATATAATTTATTATTCTCATACATGATTCAAATCAGTCATTGTGACAACACGGTGTGCCTTACACGTGAAAATAAATCCGCTCAGTCATGATATGTTCCCGGCGCTGGTTCATTGCATCTGTCGGTGAATATACTACACCGCGGTATATGTACGAAGCTCATTGGAAAAGAGATTCTAAAAGACTTGTAATCTGGTTTGATTACACTAGCAAATAAAATAGTGGCCGTCTGAAAGTAAAGCAAAGAGTATTCTGCATCCAGAGTGAACCATCAAACTGTGCAATATTAGGTAATAAAGCGTGGGCCCGGGGGCAAGCACATTGTTGCACAAGTCACATTGATTCTATACATCAACATTCAACACGTTAATGATAATGTAAGCTCGCAGCCGCACCCAGCTTCAATATAATTGACGTTTTACTCAGCTACAGATCAAAATGAGACCACGGATGTGGGAACATTCATGCTTCGAGGTTGTCCAACACCTAAATCATGTCGCAATCCAATACAATAATAAAGTAGCGGGCATTTATAACAAAAGTTCATCTTTAAATAATATAACTCATAATCAATAGTTAATCTATATAGTATAACGTAATATCTATGCCTAGGCAAATAATTATCTAAATGTTATAATGTATAAAGAAAATATTATTTTTGGTTAATCGCTGTGATCACCACCACCGGCAAGTGGCAGCAGACATCGAGCGACACCTCTATAAACAAATACTGCTATAGTAATACACGGCAACATATATGTCTATGAAACAACCAAATTTAATTGCACTAATACTTCATAATATGTAGCGGCGAAACATTCCGCCGCCAAGCATATAGTCTGATTAACAATCAACAATACTATATAAATGAAATAAACGATTTCAAAAACATGTCAAGTGAATGATGAGGCAAACTCAACGTTGTCGTAAAATATAGACAAAATTCAAATCTCGCAATGAATAATAATATAGTGGTTTTATAACAAATAGCATATAAAAATATGATTATGTCGACGCAGACCGAGTCCAGCGCACGCTGCGCGTACAGTGACTAGATGTACAGATACATAAACGATGTCTGCTGCTAGGCTACATACAACATAATACTAACAAACAAATACATAGTAAAGCTAACAATTGGTAAGTCCATCGTTTAAGTACATGAAGAATGCTCTAATGAAGCTAGTCAATATATTATATCTATAAACAATAAATGCAAGGCGATGGTCCTGCGGCACGCCGCGGCTCTCAGCCCGGCGAGTCGCCGTTGAGCTATGCAACTAATAATTACGCTACGACAGTTAATATTGCAAAGTAATTCCACTACACGAGAAGAGACTCGCTAGATTACCTACTAAGTATACTTGAAGGTTAATGTATCTAGCTCTATCCTAAACCAGTAAAAATACCTACTAGGGCGAGTGCCCACACTACATGGAACGGTCCAACTAGCCTAAGGTCACTGAGACGCTAGGAAGGGTCAACGACTATGTCTCCGCGCGGTCGCGGGAAGCTGCCAATATCACATCCGATAACGTAAACAATAAATACGTAACACTTAATAAAATCTTTTTCATTTTTTGTAAATTTTGTCTTATCAATAGATTCGCTGGCCGACGCCCGTGAGCAAATGTTTGAGCAACAAGGACGTCAACTGATTCAAGTACATGTTACAAGAAACGTGGAGCTTGTAGTTCGAGGTACTGTATAAGAGTGCGCCAGTTAGTTCAGCGGGGCGCGACCAGCTCATGGACAAGAAATGGACGCGAGTGGCGAGGCCACAGGACGGCAGTAACACAACGGCGGCGGGGGTCGAACCCGGGACATTCAGGGACCGACCCACCGCCGCTACGATCTAAACGTCACTAACAAAAAATACTGAAACACTACGAGTACAACTAGAACAAGATGGACGAAAGTATTCGGCAGAGGGCCACAACAACACAACGAACGTATCCACTACAGAACAGATTACATAGTCTTTTGCGCACACAATGGATGGATGTCGACGAATATCTTTTTTCTTTTCTTTAGAAATTTTATTTGGACGTACTAAACATTCGTATCGAGTAGAGGATTCTATGAATACAATAAGATTCGAACAATAAATATAATGTATATCATAAAAAATAACATCGCACTGTTTCATCGAAACCTCCGTTTACTCCCACACATATAAGAAAAGCTTCCGACAAGTGAGCGCTCGCCAGAGCCCGCGCTAGTTGGCAAGTCTCAGGGCGGGCTCTGGCGACCGGGGTCCACTGCGACATCGTAACAACGGTGATAAATTCATATGCGTAATAAAATACACTGATCCTATTACAAAAATACTCGATAAACATCAATTTGACGAAGTGCAATAGATAGATGATATATTGGGGAAATTCGATATCAACTGTGGATCGGTGACGCGCGGGTGAAGTGAAGGAGACGTAACTTGTGACGTCACGCGACCGGCACTACTGCCGCACAGTATAAATCAGTCAACTTTAATATTACAACACCAACCGTCTCCTGGCGCGGGACTAGTATAACTCCACGACTTGCTTGGTCCCTCGGGGGGGCGGCGCCCGACTGCACAGTTTGACGGTTCACAGCAGAGTCCGGGGCCCGCGCCCCGCCCCCCCTGCAGGCCTCCGAGGCCCGCGCCGTACCACTAATTACTTTAAAATTTTATAAAACGTATAAACAATGAGTCCGGGAGTGTCAGCATGTCACTAGTGTCACTAGTAGTGTCAGACGCGCGGCGGCGCGGCCAGCAGCCCCCGCAGGGCTGCGGCGGCGGCCTTCAGCGCGGCCACCAGTCGCTAGAAGTCGCGGCCCCGCGCCCGGCTCCCGCCCCCCGCCTTCGGCACTCGCCGCGTGCGCATCTCGCGGTCCACCTGTACATGAAATAGTGAATATTATTTTGCTCCACAAAACGTTTAAGACATTATAACTTCGCATACGTTTAAATTCCACAAAACTATTCTTAAAATGTTTGTTTTATACACAGAACACGATGAAAATATGAATGTACCTCCAGCTCCTCCAAGCGCTGTGTGAGCGCGAGCTTCTGTTGTACAGCGAGGCGCAGTAGTTGGTTGAGTGTCTTCTTCTCATCCTCTGCGCCGGCCAGCGCCTGCGTCAGCTCGTCCACCTGAGTCACGTACTCCTCGCAACGAGCCGCGAACATCGCGCGAAGACCTGGAAGTAGAAAATGAAGGTTAAAAAATATTTAAGTTCTTTGACAAATATTTTAACAAATCAATAACCATAAAGAGAACGAAAAAGGAGTTTTGTAACAATAACAGATATGACGACAAAGATATGAGTTTTTGCACGAATGTAAATAATAATACGCCTGGTACTTACTGGAGAAGGTAGCAGCATCTTCCTTGAGCAATCGGAGCTCGTTCCTGAGTTTCAGCATGGTCTCGGTGACGATGATCTTCTCCGTCTCGTACTTGGACTTGAGGTTGGCGAGAGCGACCTCGGCCGTGTTCTTGTTGGACTTCAGCACTGTACGCAGTGTCGCGATCTGTTCCCGCTTCGTTGATAGTAGGGACTTCAGCTTGATCACCTGTTCTTGGAGCTCCACTACCTCTGCGCCACGTTCCTCTGAGTCCATAACTGGAATTTTGTTGAAAGTAAGTTAGTTATGTTAATGATTTTTTTAAGGTAATGGTGCGTGATATATATTAACTAATGCTAAATCCACGATTTTAACTAATTTTAAGATGATATAATTAACTACTAGGGCAAGAAACTAACACAGATTTTTAGATATAGAAACAATATTGACAATGATATAAAAAATACTTCTACAAAAATAACTGCAATACTAATTTATTCTCACTTACAAAGCGTTTCTTTGCGTTATATGAATAGGAACTATTAAGAGCATTTTACTCTTACGTCAGCATCTAAAATGGCGCTCAGATCATCGTATTCTTATACGACAAGACAAGAGACTTGACAAATGAGGTTTTAGTCTTCATCATAAGATGTACTGTAGCATCATGACACAGGTCACCAAACTTGATTTCAAAGAGGTTTTAATACCCGAAGAGAGGGTCTCTGAACTTCTTTGATTCGGGAGGTTTTTACAGTAGACATTCCCATGTAACATTGTATTCTTCCATACAGAATGGAAGTTTATTCTATTACAAATCACATTTGGATTGTGGGAAGGGATGGTATTATTCGGAAATGGTGCAAAAGGATGTTGAGTTCGCAAACTATTCTTGTGACTCCAACAATCAAAACTTGTGTCTTTTAAATTTGAGTTAGAATCACTGTGTTGAGATGGTTTCGTCATATGTTCAAAGTAATCTGTTATTTCTTTAACACTTCTCGGAGAGTAATTACTATTATCTTCTTTTTGGAATATTCCAGGTTCTAATGATTGTAAGTGAGCTATCAAATTGTGTAGTTTCTTTTTAGTGTCCGCAATTTTTTGTTTGCAGTTGTTTTGTTCTTTCTGTCTCTTTATAGGAGTGTAGTAGGGGACTC